ACCTCTCAGCTCGGCCTGGCCCAGGTGCACCTACAGCTTATCAGAGCTTGCAACCCCCACAGTCCGTCCTGGCAGGGGCAACAGCCTCCCAGGCCCAGACCCGCAGGGCTTCCGGGGGTCGGGGCAGGAGGGCTGCGGGGACCGCGAGTCTGGGCTGAGGCGCCACGCTGCTCGTGGGTGGCCCAGAGAGGGCCGACTCCCCCGCAGCAGCGTTCATGGCTGAAAGAATGTCCCCAGGCCCGGGCCCGGCCCACCGCAGACACTCCTGGCACCTCCGACAGCCAAATCAGCCACGTTCAGACGCTCGTCATATGCGGGGCCACCCGCGTGCCCGCCCGCCCACCCACTTCGGGGCGGCCTCTGCCCCAGACGCACACAGCAATCAACTCCCGGAACCCCTGGGAGGTCCGAACGCAGTAGCATATAATCTTGGAGCCCGAAATAGCCATGCCAGGGAGGCCGCGTGCCATCTCGCATGTCCCTGGGGACTCTTCGTCCAGGCCCCACAGCATAGCAGGCGTGGTGGGGGGTGCTGACAGTGGTCACTGGCTCCCCGAGGCCCTCCCCTTGGGGACTTCGCCATGGCAGACGGGCCTCCCCAGAGTGACCGGGACCCCCAGGCCTCGGGCCTTGCCGCTCGTCCCGCCGCCGGCTCTGAGCCTTGCTTTGCCAGCCACCTCATGCAGTGCAGCTGGCCCAGGGGCCACCGCTCTACGGCCTGTTTCCCCCGACGCACTTCGCACCCCACGCACGCTCCCGCTGGCCTCTGCTGTCCCCCTGCCCTCGCGGTGGGTTGAGTGGTGGGTCCCCAGAAGGTAAGGCCACACCCTCACTCCCAGGACCTGTGAACGGGATCATATCTGGAAAAAGGGTCTTTGCAGGTGCAATCAAGTTAAGCCTCCTGAGGTGGGGCCGGGATCACTGGGGCACGGGCATTCTTACAAGAGTCACCAGGCCCCGCGGGAGGAGCCTCATGGAGGGGAAGGCAGCCAGGGGAGCGGAGGAGCAGGGAAGGGGGCCCGCGGCACAGCACGCACCGCGACGCAGACGCAGATGCAGCTGGGAGGGAGTGAGCTGCTGCGTTTCAAGCTGCCCATGGCGCTGTGCTATGCACCCCAGGAAGCAAAGCCACCCCCTCTTCCAGGACAGGCCGAGCCCTCAGGGGGCCTCAGAACCAGACTGTGGGGCCCACCCCGAGGTTCTGGCTCCGTAGCCGGGAGACTGTGTCCCCGGCAGGTCCCAGCGATGCTGCTGCTGGGCAGGGCGCCTCGAGAAGCACCACTGCATAAGTTCCCCGCACGCCCGCACGTCCGCACGCCTGGGTGGCCCCCGAGGCACTGTCATCCCCCACGGTGTCCCCCTCTTTCTGCCTTTGGGGGTCCTCAGTTCCTGCAACGAGCTTCTTGTCCCAAAATCGCCAGGCCTCCCTGGGGGCCTCTTGCAGGTTTGCACCAAGGAGGCTGAGGGCGAGTTTGCTCCGCACTGTCTCACGGGCATGGAGCAGAGCCCTCCCCTCCCAGGCTGCCCCTTGCAAGGCTAAAACGGGTCCATTCCCAGAAAAAGCCTGGAAGCGTCTCGCTGAGCTTCCCACATGGGTGGTGACGAGGCACAGCCAGCTCCAGGCCCCCTGCCAGGGTCAAGGGGGTGCAGATCAAGGCCAGGGGCTCCGGGGACCAATCTCGCAGATGCCCCTTGCTCCCCAGGCAGCTGACACCACCCCTGTGTGGACGGCATGTCTGGGCAGCTCGGCCAGCAGTCACAGCCCCCAACCGGAGGGGCTTGGCACCCTGATCTCGGCCCCCAGCCTCCGATCAGCGAGAAAGGGGCATCTGCTGTTCATAAACTCCCCTGTGGAGCCACAAGCACAGGGCAGCCAGAGGAGTTCAAGGCCAGTGCCAGGACCCCGAGCAGGAAGCCTATTCCTCTAAGGGACACACACTGCCAATCACCCCGCTGACCCTCCCACTCTAGAGACGGGGACCTCGATCCTTAGGCCCAGAGAGGGCAGGTGACCTGCCCGCGGCCCCACAGATACTTAGCCACAGAGCCAGGCGGTCTCTGGTCCTAACCCTATGGCTCAGAGGACACGCTGGGGCAGCGCTCGGCTGCACCGGGTGAGTCCCGGGCAAGGAGCTGCACTTCGCTGGGCTCCAGCGGCCTCGTCGCTGGGGCTTTCAGGGTTAAGGAGACTCGTGGGTATGCGTGGCACTTGGACGTGTGGCCTCAGCTCCCACGCGTGCGCACGCGCACACACGCGCACACACGCACGCGCACACGCTCTCCTCCCCAGGCTCCTCGGCCCGGGCACCAGTGTCTCAGGCTGGCACGGGCTGTGAGGGCCCTGGTGGCTCTAACGTGGGCCCTGGTTTGAAGCCAGCTCGTCATGTGTCCCCCGGCGGGGCGAACCCCTCGCTGGCTGGTTTCACGTGGCCGCCCTTTGTGACAAAGCGTTTGTGTCGGGCTGTTTTTCCGATTTCTCCCGATTCCCGCCACGGTGCTCTCCGGTGCTCCTCCAGCCAGCCGCGTCCCAGGTGGGTGTGGGCTGTGCTGTTGCTTTCCCGTGGGCTCCCACCCCCGCCGCACCCCGCCCCGCTCCCCCTTTCCCCAGGCTCCACCGGCTTCCTGTGGGTTCTCTCGGCCTTGGCTGAGCCTGGCGGGACACAGCTGGCACGGCCCCCTCTCCCTCCCACGGCGGTCGGTCGGGGAGGGAGCAAGCGCATCAGGGAGGGGGTGGGGGGCGGGTGCTGCCGAGCAGCCCCGGCCCCCACCCCTCACTCTCTAACTCGCTTCCTCCCGCCCTGGGAACTGGCTCTCTGCTGGGGACAGTCCCGTCACCGTGGTCCCAGGAGTGTCCACACAGTCCCTGCACAGACCCTCCCTTGTGGAGGTGAAGAGGAGCCTCCTCCAGGGGCCCGAGCCTGGGCGGGCCTGGCTGCTCTGCGGAGGGGCACGGGCAGGGACGTGCCCCCTAGATTCCTCCTGACACTGACTTCCGACAGGAAGGAGGGGCCGCCCAGCGCTGGCCGTCAGCAGCGGCTTCCCTTGCCGCCTCGACGGGCAGGACGCAGCCTCGGAGCCCAGCGGCACTGCGGGGGGCTGCCTCCCCAACGCGCTGGCTCCGACCTTGTCCGAGCCACCGGCCCCTCTCCTGTCGGTGGAGCTGCAACCCCTGAAGAGGGGGTTTGGGGGGGCAAATCAGACAGTGCACGCCAAGCACCTGCTGCGGCCCTGGCCCTGGGGTGCTCCCGAAGTTGTCGCCTGCTCCCACCCTGCCCTTCCAGCCTGGCACCCCAGGCCTGTTTTGCTGTCACTATCTACGATGGGGGGACCCAAGGTCCGCAGGACAGCACCTCGCTTTGCCGTCCCCAGCCTCCAAAGGCTCAGGAGGTGACACCTTCCACATGGAGCCCTCCAGGGGGGTTGTGCACACCCCCTCCTCCCCAACACACACCCCAACGCCTTGCAGGTAGGGGGACCGCTTTTCAGATTGTCGCCGATGCTCGGTAGCCCTACCCACCGGCACCTTGAACTCGACGTGTCCGAAGGGGGCGTCAGCATCTGCACTTCCCCTGGGGCCGCCTGCCCTTCCCGCCCATCATTGCTCGCTCCTGCCGGCACGTTCTTTCTGAGCTCGCCGCCCCGTGCCAGGCTCTCGGCCACCAGCCTCTTGTCACCCCCCCGATGCCAGAGCCACCTGTTCTCAGCTCCACACCCAGTCACGACTACCGCCAACGAGCGTGTAAGAGCACAAGAAGCACAGTCCTACATCTGAGACAAGATCTTCACACGCCCGACGCACGCCCAAGACGTGATCCGCAATTTCAAAACAGCCCGCTCGACCTCCCGACCAGTGTGACAACGCGGTCCGGTGGAAGTCCGCCGTCTTCGCTGGGAGACCCGATGCTCTGAAAGGAACGAAGCCTGCCCCGTCGTCTCCGGCTGCCCCACTTTTCCGGGGCCCGAGGCACACGTCAGGTGTCCCCTGCGGTGGGGGGTCAGCCCAGGCTTCCCTGGTCCTCATCTCCTGACCCCAGCCTCCCGGGCACCCTGCCCTGCTCGGTGGGACCTGAGGTGGCGGGGGCCACAGGCCCAGCCCTCGTTGGGAAGGAGGTCGGAGGGGTCGGAGAAGGAGACAGGGTCCAGCAGGGTCGCCCGGGGCGCTGGGGCAGACACAGAGCAGGGGCAGGGGATGTTGGGGGGGCAGGGACGAAAGGCCTAACCGTGGGTGATGTGGTGCCCACGCTGGGCCTTCTGTGGGTCCCGCCCCTCCCTCCCTCTGTCCCCGGAGGATAAGGGGTCAGGCAAGGCCACGGCGGCAACCGCAGGCCGAGAGGCCTTGTCCTGATGTACCACAGGTTGACCGTGCCTCGGTTTCCCCACCGGATAAGTGTTATGCCCAGTCCTGTTTCCCGACTTTGATGTCACCCCGAATATCTATGTACAGGCATGAAAATTCAGTTGGTTCGGTAAAAGCATGTGTGCGACTGTGTCCCAGGCCGCGGGCCGCTGGCGATGTCAGCCACCCTGCACCCCGCCTGCTTCCTCAGCCCCGGGCTCAGGCTCGCGCCCACGACGCCCCTACTGGGCAGGAGAGGAACTGCAGGCTCCCTGGAGGAGGCTGTGTCGCACATGGGCAGCCAGTTGAGTCCCAGCCCGTCCCACCCTAGACAGGGGAAGTGCGACTGGGAGCCGCCCCCCAAAACCCTGGGGCTGGAGCAGCCTGGGTGGAGGAGACAGCCCTCCTGACACTTCTGGGGGTAGCCGTCTCCGCCCTCACCCCAGGCCCTGGGGCAGGAGACCAGGCACCCTGGGACCGCCGCCCTGGTGGCCTTGTCAAGGGGGGTCCCATCCCCACAGCGCTCAGCAGGGCCTGGAGCCTGGCTTCCCCAGACACACACACGACTGTGCACATCACACTCTGATGACAACAGAACCCGAGGAAGCTGAAGGCAGGAGAGCCGGCTGCTGGGGACACAGGGTGGGGGGCGGGGGTGACTCACAGGGAGTGCAGGCTCCGCAGCCCCCACAGGGCCTCGGCAGGGACCCCTCCCAGCTGGTTGTTCTGCAGCATCCTGTAGGGAGAGGAAGGGCCTGAGGACCCCAGCACACGGAGCTAGGGGCTCCCCCCGAGCCCCCCACAAGCCACACGCTGCCCAGGGTCTCAGCTTCAGGCGCGGGGGACGTGCACACAAGGCAGGGACAGGCCGGCGGGTGACGGATCCTGACCGGAGCCCCAGGTCGCAGGGCCGCGTCCCGTGGAACGGGGCGCACGGTACTTACAGGACCTTCAGGCTGTGCAGACCAGAGAAGGCTTGTCCCGGGATGTGTGACAGGCGGTTCCCGGAGAGCCTCCTGCAAACCAGAGCCGACAGTCGGTGCCACTGGCAGGGGACCCAGACGGTGACCCCGTCCGGTTGTGCTGGGGACGCCGGGGGGAGGGGTGCGGGGCGACCACCTGTCGCTGGCAGCTGCAGGGTGTTTCGTGCCCCGGGCCCCTCATCTCGCTCGTTCTCAGCCTCCCGCGAGGTGCCTGCCGTCACCCCGGTTCCAGAGGGAGGAACTGCGGTGTGGGGGGCTCGGCACGTCCCCTCAGGCCCTGGGGCTTGACAGGGGCCCGGCCCTCTCGCCGGATGCCAGATCCGAGTAACGTCTCGGCCACACAGTGCACATCCCTCGGGTGCTGACCTGGCACCCACAGCCGCGTCGCGTCCTGTCACCCGTGGAGGGTTCGGGCCACGTGTGTGTCTGTGTCACCTCATGCCCTCAACGCCACAGCCGCCCCCGCTAGCCCAGGAGGGCTAGGAAATGGGGGCCGGGATTAGCCAGCTTCTGGTCTAGGCCGGCGAAATGGGGGCCGGGATCAGCCAGCTTCCGGTCTAGGCCGGCGTGTCGGGCGGATGTGGAGCCGTGAGTGTCTCCAGGGCAGGAGCCACAGCTGGCCCGGTGGAAGCAGATGTGGGTGGAGCCCGAGGACATCACAGTGGGGGGCCGGGGTAGGCGCCAGAGAGGTTGGGAGAGGGCAGGGCCCCACGGCCTGGCTCCCCGGGACGCACAGGCTGGGCACGGCGCCGAGGAGGTGACTTGCTCCTGATGCCAGAGTAGAGAGAAAGAGGGGCCTGCAGGTCAGAGGGGAGCCCTGCTTCGTGCAGAACGGGGACCAGGGATACCGACCCGGGCTGGCTTGTGGAGCAGCCGGCCGGGGAGGTTGGGCCAGGTGAGGGCGAGTCAGGTGAGGGCGAGCCAGGGAGGTTGGGCCAGGCAGGCCAGGTGAGGCAGGACTTAGCAGTGGATCCTTGGGGTGGGCAAACTCTTGAGCTGGCGGGATGCACCCTGAAGACATGCAGGGAGGCTGAGGAAGGGGGTGCAGATCTGTCTGTTGGGGGGCTGCCTGAGGTGAGAGTAGTGGGAGCAGAGAAGAAGGAGGGAGAAGACGCTCCAGAAAAAGCCACCAGGACTTGATGGCGGCTGGGGAATGAGGCCCCCAGGGAGAGGGGTCGATGGGAAGGGGCTGGCTGCACGTGGGAGCTGGCGTCAGTGCAGAAAGGACGGCTTTGGGGCTCTGTGCCACGTGGCCCACACTGCCACCTCGAGCTCCCGCCTGCACCAGTGACCCACGCACACTGTAGGGTGCCCCCCGCCTGACCGGCCGCCTACTCACAGCTCCTCCAGGAAGCGCAGCTGGCGGAAGGGCCCGGGCCGCAGCTCCGTCAGGTTGTTCATGCTCAGGTCTCTGTGTGGAGAGGGAGCCGTGAGCTCCTGCAGCCCCAGCTCCACACACCCACGCGGTCCCCAACTCCACCGCCGCCACAGCTGCGGCTGCGCCCTCTGCCTGGAGCTGGCCGGCCAGCCTGCCTTCTCGGCCTCCATGCCCCTCGGCCCTCCTTCCCTCCGGCCCCCAGGACTGGCTCTGACCACCAGGACTGAGAGTGACCGACCACCGCGCACGGGGCAGAGCGGGGGAAAAGCCCGCAGGCTTCGGGGCAGGAGGCAATGGCTCACTCCGCACAAACGGCACCTCACGCTCTCGCCGTCCACCAACGGGGGGAGGAGGGGCGGAGGCCCGCGCTCCAGCCGCTGCGGCCTCCGGGCAGTCCCGGTGTCCGTGAGTGCACCGGGGCGACGGTGCTGCCAGACCCCCTCCCATGGGCTCCCTCTTCGGTCTCCCATGGGAGGCCGCGGCTGCCGGGCGGTCGAGGGGCGCCCCAGTCCTGAGCCGTGGCACGTCCGCGAGGCCCCCACGCCTTCTGGGAGCTGAGCTGGTTTCAGTGTGGTGACTCTCCACGGCCCTTCCTGGGGCCTGAGCTGTCAGCGGGATTATTTGTCCAAGCGACTTAACCCCACGACACCCCAGCAGCTTCCGTCATAACCCCCGTTTTACATTCAAGAACACAGAGAGGAAGGGGCACCACGCATTCATGGCACAAGCCCTGGAGTCCCCTCCCCCAGGAGAGTGGCAGGAACGACCCTGAAGCCCTTGGGCCCTCAGAAGGGCGCCAGGAGCTGATGCTTGCAGACAGCCTGACAGACGGCCTGACAGACGGCATGCCCACGACATCACGTCTTCCTCCACCAGCCCCTTGGTCACCTGCGGGCGAGCGTCCCGCCCAGCAGGCCTGGGGTAGGTGGTAAGGGGCTGGGGCCCTGGTCGCTTGGTCCCACCCTGTGTCAGCACATTCTCCTCTGCGCCTGGTGAGCAGCAGTGTCTGGGATGGCAACCGTGGACCGGACATAGCCAGTCCCATCCTGCTCACCCTGCTCAGAGGGGCGTCTCGCCTCTGCCAGCCCCTCCCTCCCTGGGGCGCAGAGGCGGGCCCAGCAGGCCCCTGTGCGCCGGCACACCCCAGACCCCCTGCATCTTCTCCCCCTGCTCAGAAAGGCGTGGAGAGGCGGGATGTGCTGGGAGCCGGTTGCCACCCATAAAAACTGTTCAGTCTCAAACGTGTCACATTTGATGAGGCTCAGAGTCGGACACCATGTCCCTTAGGGAAGGGAGACACCGCACGTGGGGCAGAGCCGCGGCAGGGGAACCGGGCTGCTGGTGGCCCACGGTCCTGCCCGTCCCACATGCAGACAGCAAGTCCGTCCTGCCCCCCTACCCCGGCCCCCAGCAGGAAGGGCTCACTGCTCTGCTGACAGCCACCCTTTGGGGAGCATCGACGGAGTCGGTGATGGATCTGAAGCCAGAGTTTGGTCCTCAGGGTGCTCTTGAGCCCGCCAGCCCAGGCCTCTGGTGGAGGTGAGGAAGCGAGGCGCCCTGGACAGGACAGGGCAGTGGGGCCCTGGGTCCCGCCACCGTCCCCACGCCCTCCGCCAGGCAGGGCGGCTGGGGCGCAGGACACACACCTCTGGGCATTCGCCCTCGCGTCTCTGAGCGTGCCTCCACAGGAGCGGGCTGTGACTCAGCCTCGTCACTCAGCGGTCCCTCCAGGCACCGCGCCTCAGCGGCTCTGATGTGGCTCCGTGCCCCCTCCCTCCTCCACCACCCTGACTAGTGGCCGCATTGTTCTCTCCTGGGAAGAGGGGGCCTGGACCCCAGCCCGCCTCACATCCTGCCCCAAACGGCACAGCAGCTGCAGGGGGTGGGTTTCGGCTGGTCGGGGTTGGGGAGCCCCACTCAGGCCGGGCCCTCTCACGGAAGGAAAAGGGGAGAGGCTGGTGCCAAGGGGAGGGGAGGAGGAGGCATGGAGTTGGGAGAGGGAGGTGCAGGCGGCCATGCAAGCTGACGCCACAGGCCCTGGGAGTGGCTGAGGGCCCGGCGTGGGGGGCCGCACCTGGGCGGTTTCGGGGGCAGCCTGTCCTGTGAGATTGGTGGTTCTGAGACAGGACGTCCGAGGAGGTCAGCTGTTCCTGTGTGACCAGAGAGCACAGCTCAGAGCCACAGGCCATGCCTAGACCAGGTGCCCAGGTCCGGCCGTGGCAGCATCGGCCTGGCGGTGTGAGCTGGTCATCACAGGCGCTGGGATGCACGAGCTCTTGGATGTGCTGGTTTTGCAGGTGCTGGGCGTGTGTGTCGTGTGTGAGGGCGCACGTGTGTATCTGAACAGGAGCGTGTTAGTGTTGGGCTGTGAAAAGTCGCCACGTTCTCTAAGCGCCCACATGTCACAGTCAGGAGCTTCGGAAGACACGCACGGCATCGGCCAGGGCTCACCTTTGGGGGGCGTCGTGTGGCTGTTACCTCCTCTGCACCTTACTTTACGCCCTGGCCCGTCTCCGGGTCAGGAAGGGGCACAGGGTGCTCTGCGATCCTCTCTCTGGGCAACTTGTGACTGATTGGGGGGCCCTCTGCACCATCTCTGTCCCCTCTGAGCACTACGAGCACATGTGCATGCACACATACACGCATGCACACACGTGCACACACATACACATGCACACATGTGCATGCACACACGCAGCGAACATCTGTGCACACACAACGTGCACGCGTGCATGCACACATGCACACACACGTGCACACACACACACGCGCACACACATATACATGCACGCACACATACACGCATGTGCACACGCAGCAAACATCTGTGCGCACACAATGCACACACGTGCATGCACACATGCACACACCCACATACACCACATACATGCATGCACACGAGTTTCACACTTGCTCACACAGGTACGTGCATGCACACATGCAAGTGCACGTAGGCGTGCATCACATACATATGCACACATGCTTGCACATGCACACACATGCATAGTCGCATGATCCCGGACGCCCACGGACACATGCATGCATGCACACATGTGCATGCATGCACATGTGTGTAGTGCGCAATGGCGCACAGCGTGCACATATGCACATATATGAGCACATATATGCACACACATACACACCCCCCACTGCTCTGGGACTGGCTTCATGGATATGTGACCTGTGCAGCTGCAGAGACCATGCGCGGCAGCTCAGCTGTCTGTTGTTGTCATTTTGAAAGCCTCAATAGTCCTTGCACGGGCAGCCCTGCGTCTTCGCTCACTCTGGCCCTGCCAGCTGATTCTCTCCACTGAACAGCAGAGGTTGAGAGGTTACGCTGCAGCCTCACTCTGCAGCCTTCTTCCCAGCAGCCCTGGGTGCTCCCAGGGGACACAGTGTGGGGGGGGTCCTGGGGCGAGGCTGGCAGGAGGGAGGGGTGAAGAGCAGGCAGCCCCGGGCATGGGGAGTAGAAATTTCTGGCTGCACATCAGGAAAATGTCTCAGAGCTTCACCCTGTGAGGCAACCAGACCACCCAGGATGCTGGGCGAGGCGGCGTCACCATGGAGACCAGGAGCAGGTGTTACAAGTGGGGATGCTGGGAGCTGGGGGCAGAAACTGGAGGGGTGGGGTAACAGGAGACCCTCCCATGGCAGTCTGGCTGGTCCCCAAGGGCCCTGGGGGTTTGTTCTGTGTGCGTTTTCCTATGGGAGGGAGGGACGACAGAGGGCGCCCTGGGGTTCTGGGCTGGGCCTGGGACGGGGGTCCCCACCTGGCTGGAGCAGAGCCCCAGGAAGCGAGCCCCCTGTGCGCTCTGCCTTGACTCAGGGTGTCCATCTCTGAGCCAGGAAAAGGGCAGTCGGGGTGATGGGGGATGAGCCTGTCCCCAGGCATGACTCTGCCCCAGGCCACGTCCCCACACAGTTCTGGACGAGGGTGGCGTGTCCGTCTCTGTGCACACAGCACCTCCCCCAGGCTTTGCACCGCGACCCACGTGAGAACAGTGCTGGTTTTTACATAAGAACTTGCTTGACCTGGTCACAGCTTGGCTGCTCATTGGTAACAAGGATGTCTCCAGCCTGCCTGGGGCACAGGGCACAGCAAGAGAGAAGCTGGAGGGGCGGGCCCAGCGGGCCTGGTGCCTGGACTGGGGGCCGTTTGTGAGGGGACAGAAAGCCCCCCCCGGTTGCCGAGCAAAGGGGAGGCTTGTACAGGTCAGACTGAGCCGGGGGCGGGTGGGGGTGACGGCAGGTGGCCCGAGTGACTCAGGGAAAGGTGAGGGAAGGGGACACGGAAGTCAGAGACGTCGCTCATGCATCACAGCATTTCATCTCCATGGTGTGGGTCCCCCAACTCTACGGGCAGAGAAGGGAGGCCAAGGAGGGGTACCCAGGACAGGCCCCTCCCACGCAGAGCTGCAGGATCATGATTTGGGGCCACAGGAACCCACTTCAGGTCAAATCCCATGGACCCCTTCTTCTCACGGAAAGGGGTACATCTGATAGTGACGCAAGGTCGAGGTGCTGGACAGGGGGAGGGGGAGGTGGAGACTGCATCCTGGAGCAGCCCTGACCCTCAGCGCTCGGGGTCCCTCTGTGACCACCCCAGCCGCAGGGACGCCGCGGCTCTGCCGGTGACCTGGCTAAGCCGGGGTGTCTGCAGAGCCGCGGGGCCTCAGCCGGAGGCTTGTGTGGGCCCGCGGGGCGCTGTGCCTGTGTCGCTCTCCCTCTGCCCCAAGCAGGCAAATGTTCTCGAGAGCAGAGTGTGGCACGGGGCGGCAGCAGCAGGCACATGTGCCCCTCCCCAGGGCCCCTCCTTCCTTCCAAGCCCACGGGCGCAGAGGCTAACGGGACCCAGGCCTCCCGCAGCGTGAAGGACAGAGCCTCGGAAGCCATGAGGCCTGGCTCAGGCCCCTCTCTCGCCTCCGCCCTCCCGGTGGCTCTGGACCTGTGCCGTCCAGCGCAGCAGCCGTGACCACATGGGACCATTTACAAGTAGATTCACGCAAACTCAATCAAGTCTCTGGCAACACAAG